CCTTTGAACTCTTCTAATAAAGAAAGAGAATTCTCTTGAATCGTCCCTCCGAATAAATTGCCTACTTAATGCCTAATTATCATGAATGCATTATAATCCTAGGAATCTTGAGTTTCATCCCGACCCTTAGTACTGCCCATAAAGGTGTGACATGACCCGAATCGATGCAATTTCTCCGCAATGCTCTCCCACTATCTAATACCGTTCTCGGTATAATAAAGCATTGTGATAAAATTATCAGAATTTATGAGAAGCCGAATATAAAATTATTAAATATACTGAATTTGCAATTACTACGCACATATTCCATTATTTGTATATTATCGCTGTTTTCGAAATGGTTGAAAATAACAAGCAAAAAAATTTTTGAATATCACGAATACTTGAATACTCGATTATATTAGCACAATAATACCAATTACTATATGTACGTACATAATTTGGAATCGATTTTTGATCAATGTGATTATTGTTCGAGTCGAGTATTCAAGTATTCATGATATTTATAAAAAAATTTTTTGTTGGTCATTTTCAACCGTTTCGAAAACAGCGATAAAATAAAAATGAAGCCACAATTCATTAAAAAACTTTATGTATAAGCTTCAGCAATTGCTTCGGCCCTATAAAATGCCATCGTTTAAATTACTAGTATAGTTTCTTTTGTACGAGTATGATAAAGTGACAAATGGATTGAGCAAATAGTTTGTAAGAATAGTCAATATAACTTTAGATTGAATTTTTAGTATTGCCATAAACTATTTCTATTCTATCATATCTTTAATTGATATATACAATATATATGAACAAAATGATTCAAATTTCACATACTTTGCTACTATTCAATGAAGCAAAAGAAGCATATTCAAATTTTGAACAAAAGCTTCGTCTAAGGAAATGTAAGTAACTTTTTTTAAAGGTATATCAGGGAAATTTCTAGTTATTTATTGACTTTAAAGATTCTAAATATAAATATTAAATACGTCACTTAATGAACATACTGTACTAAAATATTTGCTAGAATAGTTAAAAGGTTATTCGGATGAGTACTCGTTATGATGCCATAAAATAAAATTAGAGGTTTAATTATGCTTTGAAGTTCTTATGCAAAGGCACTATTCGAATAAGAAACCTCCTAGACTTGCCCAAAATTAATTACATATTCGAACACCGATAAATTGATATTCAAATACTTCACAAAAGTTGATTTATAGTATAAGTGGCATATGGAATTATTATAAAATTATGATATATAAAAATTAGCTATTTTGAACTAGTTTAAACAAATTTATGATTAGGTGAGGATTAAATTATAGGTAGTTTTTATATATTATAATTTTATAATAATTTTATTTTTGCCCACCTGTACAATAGAAAGTGCTAAAATTGAGAAATTAAGTATTACGTCGTATACATAGAATTTGTACCATTATTTAATAATACTAATTATTCGCGTTACAAATAACTTAATAAAGAAATTTCTCTTGATGTACATATAATAACTATTGTGATTTTTTTTTTTCAGAATTATGTTGCATTTAAGTTTCTATATTTGCGCTTTTATTTTAAATTTTATTTTTATTTTGGCTACTTTTATTCCAGATGGAAGATTTAGCCATTCCTCAACTCTTATTGCTAGGAAACTCTATTTTAGTTGTGGATTGAAAATTATTATTTTTCGTAGTAATGATTCTTCTACAGTTTTAAGTTCCATTTCCCAAGAGAATACGAATGAATTATTCTATTTGGATGTTTCTAAACCATTTGACATAACAAACAATGCCTCAATGCCATGGATTGACCTTACTTATACCAATGGTCCTTTGAAGGATTCTGCTACAGCGTGTGTTGGTGGAAAAAATAATGATATGATCTTTGTTTTTGGTAATAATAAGCGTAATAATCAATCATTTGTTAATCAATTTGATACTGGTAAACAGCGCTGGATTAATATCACACTTGTTGGAAGTGTACCCACAAATAGAGACGATATTTCATGTGCTAATTTTAATAATGAATCGATTACTATTTTTAGTGGCTATAGTTATATTTCTAATATTACAAATGATCTTTGGATATTTAATACATTGACATTAACGTGGAATTTAAGCAATGCAACAAATGCGCCTCCATCTCGGCGGGGTTATTGTGCAATAACTTTGCCTAATGAAAATATTTTATATATTGGTGGATCTACTTCTAGTATCCCTTCCATTTATATGCCAATGAACAATGTAAGTGCTGTCTTTTAATGAGATTGATTTTTTAGCCTTTACTGATTAATTCTTCGTAGTTACCGCTGTATAATACAAAATCTGATACGTGGACAAATATAGTACGTAATAAATGAACAAAATTTTCATTATTTCTTAGCAACTAATAGTTAAATCTGTTATTTTGAAAGAGTATATCCGGCCCAACTCCTCTTTCTCGCAGTTATTTCTCAGCAGTATTAAGTATGTTGTTTAATAATATCAGTGAAGTTTTTCAAAAAGTTTTAAATAAAAAGCTTCTTTTATTAATCATTAAATTAAAAGCCTCCGACGGACGTATTATAATTTTCGGTGGTTCTAATCCAACTGCGATTTTGGGTGACCTGTGGATCTTAGATATTACAACGTTCCAATGGTCAATTGGAAATATTTTAAACCCAATTGTGAATTTAACTCTTTATAGTCATACTGCAACATTAGTGGATAATTATATGTTTGTTGCTTTTGGTAAAAATTTTCATTATTTTTATGCCATTACTTATAAACTATTTAAACTTGCTAAAGTTTTATTTATTCAACAGGTGCTTTTTCCGATACTAATCTTTCATCAAAAATATTTATGTTAGATGTAAGCCAAAAAAATTCCTATAAATGGTTTAATGAATTCATCCCAAATATCACAACTACAACTACTACAGCTATTACAACTACTACAACTACTGCAGCTATTACAACTACTACAGCTACTACAAGTAATTCAAGTTCAAGTAATACAAACACTATTTTAATTATTGGCACCATTATTGGCAGTATCATTTCTTTATTAATACTCGTTATAGCAAGCATTTCTACACTAAAGTATATTGATAAATATAAATAAATGAATAACTAATTTATTAAATGATATAATTAATATCATTAGTTTATTACTTTAACAATTATTAAAGTCACTTTTTCAAAAGAATATACAGATCCGTATGTATACGAGCAAAACCTTCATAGCCAGTAATCAGTTTTTTTTTAATACTTGCACTTCTTACTAAATGAAACATGATCAATAATCTGCTACGTTTTAAACTCTATCTATCAACAATGTTTGTAGTTGTATATATTTATTTCTTTATTTGAAAAAAAATAATCATTCAAATACTATTATCTTTTATATTGCAATCGTACAGATATTAGATGCTTTCATGAAAAAAAAATTGGTGTGTTAAGCATGTTAAAAATTTGTAAAACTGAAATGTGAAAAAAAGCTGCTGTTATTTTATTTAATGAATTTCTCAAGCAATCGATTAATAATTTAATTATTCAATAAATTTGTATAATGACTAAATTCTGACTTAATGAAGTCTTTAAAAATATTCATTTAAAACCCTTATTTTGAAATTTTATTTATTTTAAAATTAATATTATTATGTACTAAACACTAATATTTTTTCTTTTTAAAAAAAAAAAAGAATCTAAACCATCATTGGCAGCGAAAATGACACAAGTTTATCTTATAAAGCTTAAAGCACCTGTGTGACATAGCTGTTAATTAATAATAAGTAAACCTTTAATTAAGTTAAAGCAAACTAACATTAAGCGGTTCAGCAGTTCAATATCTACATGAGTATTTAGGATTTACCCTAGGTGCCGCACAAAAAATGCGCGGCAGATCCTCGATTTTGATTGGCTAACGGCCGAAGATCTTCATAATTTTGGTTCGCATTACAAAATTGGTTACTAAATTCCGGCCGGAATTAACTTTTTAATTTTTTCATTACAAAAATAGAAATTTTTTAAAAATAAGCACGCATTATGGTAAAATTGACCCAGGAACAATTTTCACTTAATGGGCGGCTGCGATTTCATTAGTAAAATTATGAGTAATTACGGCTTAATTTTTTTAGCCAATCAAAATCGAGGATCTGCCGCGCATTTTTTGTGCGGCACCTAGGTTCAATGCTCTATGTCAAGCTGCGTCCAGTCGTTCCTGTAGTATCGTACATGTTTGCATCTTATTTAGAAATAACATGCCTTAATCTGAAAATTACTCTATTTGATAATGAAAATAATGAAAATATAAAACTTTTTAATGTTTTGCATTTATAATCATTGTAGGCGTTAGACAGTAAATTTTTATTTTGTGCTATATGGGTTATATCTACCAATTGTTTCTTTTGAATTTTGAACTTTAATTATAACAATAGTTGGTTCTATATTATCGCATTTGCTATGAAACTTATCAATGCTAAAACCTTCAAGGCTTGCATGGTAAATAAGATCAAATTTGAAAAGTATATCTTTAAAATGATAAGGTATTCCATCAAACCAACTTGCTATTAATACTGCATCTTTAGTGCTAATAATTTTAGAATTGAAAGAATAAGTTGACTGTCTTTTTAGTAAAACTTTAGATAAAAGTTTAGACTTAGTGTTAGAATTAGTATCTAACAAATATTGTTACTAAGGTTATCTAAAAAAATTTTATTATATTGAGTAAAAACTAAATGAAGTTTATCAAATATGAGGAATAAAGTTATATAGAGTTTTTTCAAGTTCCACAAAATCAATTTGTGTCCATTTAGTTAAATCATTTTCTAAAGTAAAATTATTGTTTCTGATTCCTAAATTTCAATTTTTTCTAACCTAAGGTCATCACATTTCAAAAGGCAAATTAAATTATCTTCATTCATTTTTAAGAACTTATTCGATTCAAAAATAACTCAGATTTCTATACAAATTTCAATACCACTTTATATAAATCAGCGAAAATATAATACTTACACATTGTAATAAAATCTTTTAGAAATTTTTAAGCCAATTCAAATTCAAGCAAACATTTTTAACTAGTTGACTAATTTCAAATAATTCAATCTTGTTAGCAGCAATAAAAATGGCAATAAGACTAATATTATCTTTAACAGAAAATGTTCCTGTATAAATATATCTATTCATTTAATAGAAATAAATCATTATTATAAAGCTATTATAGAAATTAAATTTCTTTATTAATAATAAACTTACTTTATAAGAATTTCAAATACAGATTGTGAAATGGGACCCCCACAGCAAAAAGAGGGGCTGGGCAAAAAAATTTAAAAATTTGTTCTTATAGTAATTTTATTATAATCAATCTGATTCTTCGAGATATTGGATTTTTTTAAAAATAGATTTAATCATTAATATTCATTGCATTTTTTTTTTTTTGTTAATTTTGAAGTTAATTGCATATTCAAATATTGGAACTAAAAATCCTACATTTTTACAATGCTATGGAATATCAAAAGATGAAGG